CTCCAGGAGAATCCGGCGTGCCGTACAGACGGCCTTCAACTGGCGGAGGGGCCTCAGGAGACTGGTGGCCCGGGTAGTCATGGAAAGGATACAGTGTAAGACCACCTGGTTGTCCACCAACAAACGCACCCGCCGGGAAGTCGTCCCGGAGTACTGGCGAGGAAAGAAACTGAGCAGTGCCAAGTACACGGCCTGCATTTCACGAACATTAATGTGAATAAGGTCCCGATCAAAAAAGCCCCTTGCAAGCATGGGGCCCAGTTGACCCAAAGGTTGAAAGGTCGCTCCCCAACCCGTCAGGCTGGCATCCGTCGCAAGGGTGCCAAGCAAAGGCAACGAGCCCGGTTGGAGAGCCCGGTTGGAGAGCCCGGCCGGCAAGCTTGGAAAGGTTGGTCCAGGCCAAAAGGTCCAGGCGGGCCTGGGGGGTCAAAGGAAGCCGATCTCTCCAAGAACGCTTCCCTCTCAACAAAGCATAAAGGCTCATCAAGAAAAAACGGGCCAGCGGAAAGGCCAAATATAACGAGATGGCAGAGCCACAGAATTGAGCCAACTTCCGCGCCACTACCACATTAGACTGGAGAATGGCACGAGCACGGGAGGCAATGGCAGCTGCCTTGTCCGGAGGCACCAGAAATTGGCACCGTGTGGTGTCAATGACCATACCCAAATGAGTTTTCCGCTGCACCGGCTCCCACTGGCATTTTGAATGTTTGAATTCAATCCCCAGAGCATGGAAAACCCGCTGTACCAAACTGGACCATTCCCGCAAACGAGCCGGATCGGACACGGCCGCAATGAAATCGTCCAAATATGCCAAAATTAACGCGGGAACCTCCCGCGAGTACTTTAGGTAGTACTGTACAATGGAATCATTGCCCGCTAAACAGCCAAATCGAAAACGAGTTCCAGCCCCCGGACATGCATTAGGGGTCCTTAAGAAACTGACCACAACTAGCATGACATGAGTGAAATAAAAGGGGGCCAAGGAGAGGCCAAAAGGCAGCGCCCGACAGGCGAAAACTTCACCACCCATCCAAAAGAGCAAGAAATGCTCCTGATCGGCACGCATCCGAATATAATGGTAGGCATTTTTGACGTCAAAGCCCACCAGAAAGTCGTTCTTTTTCAAAAGAAAACCGAAATCCTTCAAGCGCTCATAGCGGAGACCGACCTTCTTGAGGTGGCGGTTGATCCGCCGAAGGACGATGACCAAACGGTACTTGGTCTTCCCGTTCTCCGCCGGCTTGGCCACCAAATAGGTGCGCAAAATTCGGGCGCTGGAAGAAACCTCCGTCTGGTGGATCGCTCCCGTCCGCAGGTACTCGTCGCGCAGCTCCCGCCAAGCTTGCCATTCCGCCGGGGTCCTGAGCATGTACTCGCCTTGATCGAATGGAGGCGGAGGGCCCCCCGGGCCCCACTGGAGCGGGGCCCCCGTATGGATCCATTGGAGCACTCGGGTGGGGGCGCCGATGCGTCGCCAGGCCACGAGACGGCCCTGGAGGCACGCGTAGGGGGGGGCCTCTAGGCGGTCGGCTTGGGAGGCGTTGGCTGGGCGCCGGACGTCTTGGGTTTGGCACGCGGATGCTTGGCGCCGGAGGAAGGACCGCCGGGGGGCGGGGCTGCGGGAGCTTGGCGGGTGAGTTGCGCTTGATGTTGAGCGGCCGCGGACTTCGTCGCCAACTTGAGCTGTTGATTGAGGACCTCCTTGCGGATGTGCTCGAGGGGCTCGTCGATCAATGGGTCCCAGAACCGTCGATGCACGGCGCCCAACCGTACGTTGGTCTGAAGCGCCTTCCACAGACCGTTGAGGGAGGTGCCCTTCTGCTCGCCGTGGACTTGCTGGAGGCGGATCAGGCTCTGAAGCCGCGACGTGACGGTCACTTGGGCGTGGACGTATGGAAGGAGGGCCTCCCGGAACTCGGGGGGAAAGGCCGGGTGCGCCACGAAGTCGATCAGCGCGGCAGTGAGGTCGAACTGCCACGCGACGTAGGGGGCCCAGTTCTGATACTCCTGGAAGTACCCGGAGTTGGCGCCCAGGGCCTGCGCGAGCTGCCCGCCTTCGGAGGTGCGGCGGACGTCGAACCACTCGGGGAAGTGTACGCCCGGAGGTCGGACCACCGGGTTGGTCACCGCCTGCGGTAGTAGCCGGGGGTCGGACAGCCAGACTTCGTCAAGGGAAGCCATAGGCGGACCGTCGTTGAACCGAACCGCTTGGTCGTGCAGCCACTGCTCGGCCGGAGAACGGTTCATAGAAAGGACTCGGCCGTAGCCGGAGGGACAAGGCACTCGGTGCCTGCGGGTTGTGCCAACGCAGTGGCGCGAAGCGAAACAAGATAAGGAGGGGGACCGAGGGGCTGCCTAAATAGCCGCCCTCCACCGCCCCGCCAAAGCCCGCCAAACTCGAGGGCGCCCTCGCGGGCGGCACCTCGGAATACCGTACTTTGACTGACCCACGGTACTAGGGGTGGCCAGAAATCCCAAGGGACGGGGTTGAGTAAACCCCAGGTTCAAACTGCACCGTTTGAATCGTCGGTGCAGCCCACCCAACGTCGCCCTTGGCAGAAACCCATTAACAGGATAGTTAACTTCATTTCCGGGCATATCACGGCCTATTTGTCAAAAATTTACTTTGCCTACTCTTTGGGATCAGGGGCCCAAACCGCGTTAGTATACATGACACACTATTAGTATCCCCAGCTCATTTTGGGGGTCCAACACACACCTACTAATGCCGGATAAACATGGCATGTGTATGTATATATATGTATATGGTGTGGAGTATCGCACTGGAGTCATGCAGCAATTTCTCCACCTGTGCATATGCATGTGTAGAGAGAAAATCTGTTTTGACAGCTATTACTTCGGACCCAATGCAGGCGGCTGATGACTTACTCATGGCAGCCGCGAATGCAAAGGATAGTGTGCTTCAAGTCACGCCGAAGTTGGCATTGCGATGGGCGGATCAAGCAGTCGTCTATTTTGCACAGGCTGGCAACTTCAAAACAGCTGCAAAAATACAGCTTAAAATGGGAAGACACCCTCAAGCCCGTGATCTCTTCAAGGAAGCGAGCTGCTTTGGTGAGTAAAACCATTCAATATTCAGGCACATAAAGTAAGTCATAAGTCGCCAGCATAGTATGCTGAGCATACTGAATATAAAATGCAAGAGTTGTGAACCTCGGTATATGAATCCATTCACAATATTGCCTTAATTCACGAACGATATGACAGCTTCCTATTTGATTGCTTCTCACAATCCATCGCTGCCATGATATTATCGTGAAATTGCAAAGGCCCAAGGGTGGCCCTGCAAGCACCTTTGAACTGCTACTATCAGCGCATTTTTCGTTTCAATAAATTTCAGGACGTTTCACGACTGCAACACACTTACGAATCAACCATTACGATGATGTCGTTGCTGCATCACTGCAATAGTAAATTTGGTTCCAAAAGCATGCCTTCATACACCAGCATATGATGCGTTTCAGAGGATTAAATGTAGTGTAATTTTACGAAAAAGTGAATACGCATAGTATTTGAAAGTGCGATATGTGCAAAATGTACACATACTCAAAAGGGTTAATTCTAGCACTGCTTTGGATAGAAATGGCGGCTGAGTGCTGTGAGTTCATCTTCAAGAGCACTGGACAAGCGGGTTTCGAGCATTTGAAGGAGGCAATGAATCTGTACATAAGAGGCAGTGCCAGCACCCGAAGCATGGAGCTTTTCAAGAGATATGAAGTCAGACTAAGGTCACAAAAATTTTGGGCCGATATCGTCAGGAAGATGTATTCAGCCTCTCATCGAGAAGGTGCGCTGTAGCTGATAAACACGCTGCAGTTCTTTGCACTCAATTCTGCAACATATTGCCACTCACGATTGTAAAATTTGGATCAACCAACGCCATGGGTTTCCAAAGACACTTTGATCCAGCGAAGGATTCGTTGATCGCAAATGAAAGATGTTTGCGTCGATTAATGCGCTGTTGCAGAATGAGGTATCAGCAAATTGGAGCGTGCGTCATTAGCTGAAGGCCGCTATTTATTCCAAGCGCTCAACTACAGATTAAGGCTGTTGTGTTACTGAGTCCTGTCATCTGGCTCCATCAGTTAAACAGTGGAAGTCGCAGTTGTGCGTGTTGTTATCCACTCGCTGTATCTGCTCCCTTCTGTGGAGCAGATGTTTCACATATTCTACAGGAGGTGCTGTACTGTGTGGATCGACAGGGTGTTGTGATTCTGCAGAAAATAGTTTAAATAGCAGAAGTACCTGTTAGTTTACACTACTAGTATGGCAGAAGTACACCATCTCTACATATACTTCTGTTCTTCTATATTAATGCGCACTTCTGTACAACTTTATAGTAGCGAACGGGTAACATTTCAGGAAAAAACACATTGCTCTTTGAAGTTGCATCATAACTACAATATAATACCATATTTTTCAGCTCAGGTACCAAATGTTTCCTAACAGTGCACCTGCGATATGCAGATTAGCTGCGTACTGTCGGTGCCAAGAATTGCACGTAACCATCCGTGTTCTGGTATACTTCAAATAATTAATGGAATACCGAGAGCGTATCGGAACACATATGCAGCCCAAGGGCTCTGGAACCCAAGTACAAGAATCAAATGTAGGCAAATCCATTTTGAATGTTTCGAAGACGTAAAATGCCACACTGTACTTCAGAAATTGGCAAAATGTTCAGTATATATGATTTATGTGTGTTTGTTGCAGCCACTCTTGAGTTCATGCACTTATTTTCATACAGTCAGATTTTTTGCCATTAGTCATCAATTCCGCTGCATTGGTGGCCTGTGGCGATGCCTCTGCTAATGCTGCACAATTTGGCAGAGCTTCAACGTGTTTTCAATGCAAACGCGATCTCAACATTCTTGTCTCATATATGCACGAACCAACCGTTCAACATGTTAAGGAACAATAGAACTGTTTTTTTTTGGCCGACACTCACTGAGCATCCCTGGCGTCCATGGCAATAGAAAATGAAGACGGCGTCAGGCATCTTGAGGGTGTGATGTGCGAGCTGGAAGAATGGCAGCTGCTTGCCGAAGTGACCCCCGACGCCCTTGAAGCAGCAGAATTGTATGCTGCAATAGGACATTTCAGCTCGGCAGCAAAAAGACTGAGACCCAAACTGGAGACAGACCCGAGGAACAGAGAGGTTCTGTGTCGGTATTACCTCAAGGTCAGTGGCAACGGCTTGCTCAATAGTGAGTTTGTAAGCCTCCCTTGTCTTTTTGGATTCGGAAGCAAAATTTCCCGAGATAATTTGCTAAGACACCAAAAGCCTTAGGTAGCTATGTTAACGCAGGCGCTTGTATGGCATGATTACATTGCATTAATTACGTGAAGGGAATAATACCATAGAGTTTGGCAGTTTTTTATGATCGCTACTAGAAGAGGATATTGCTGAACAAATGGACAGGGTAAGGCCTAAGAAATAAATGGCGGCAATTAATAAGCGTGCTTGTCATGGTCTTAGTAATGACAGATTTGGCACAAATAGAATTATCCAGTCCATCATCTTGGGCTTGGCAGGCACCAGAATGCGCATTTCCAATACCTGCTAAAGCTTGGAAATTCTTCGAGCAGCGCTGTCCTTGTATATACAAGGATAAAAAAATTAGTGCTGATTGTTGGACGCTGATTGGGAATGGAATCAATGCATGGTGCGAACGTGGATCAAAAAGGCCTGGAGAAACCATACAATAAATTCATATGCGCTATTTCAACCAACTGCACGCAAAATTCCGCCGTGAAGTGGAAATTTGCGTGTACGGCTATTGTGAGGACTGGTGTTCGAGAGTCAGTTCATAAGTACACGTAGTTTCCTGGATTTGTCCCTGCTACTGATATTGGCAGGTTTGGTTGTGGATGCATTGACTAAATTTTTGGCTCGTTACGAACAAGCTATGCATCCTGATGTGGGCATACTGAGACCCAACATATGCTAGATATGCTGGATATTCATCTGGATTTCTTGGCATCAGTCATTTTGTATCCAACGTCGCGTGTTGTTCAAATTTGTGCACTTCGCACACGTCTTCAGTTGCATGTTTATCTTTGCATGTCAGAAAATGCATGCGGAAATTGCACACATCCGGCTGTGATCAGGCCATGACGCGGATATTTGTCTGTTATATATTTCTAGCGGCAGCAGGCGACAACTTTTGGGTGTGTGCTTTAGATGGGGAGCATACAGGACTGTAACAGCGCGCGAGATTTGTGGAAAGGGGAGATTTTTGCGGGAGATGAGTTTGGCAGAATTCGAGGAGATTGCCTGTTGAGAGCAGTGGAGCGGCACATGGCAGAGCCGAAAATGGGCCGAAAGACAATTTCAAGTATCTGCCATTTGTCCAACGAGGCCATGAAAGAATATTACAAGGCAGGACACTCGCTGGGAGGCGCCGAAACTCTGACTGCACTTGCGATGGCGCCAAGGAGTATTTCACATGAAATCCTTGAGGTAGGCAGTAGAGGCGGATTCTGTGTGTGTCCAAATTCATGGAACATTGCTCAATCCAAAATCACATAACATTAATAATGGCAATGAGCGCATGGATTAAGGTCCATTTGGACACATCGCGGCTTTGTCAACCAATTGGTAAGCTTGGACAAGCGCAGGGACATTAGGGTTACTGCACATTGATGAGGGAAGAAATGCGGAGTAAGTCGGATTGATTATCAAAGCACGTCTGTGTAAGGAATCAACCTCAGAGCTGAGAATTTGCCAATGCTTTGGCGCTTTTTGCGCTTTTTGTCATTCAGTTTGTTCCGGCCTTGAAACGTCATTCAAATTCTGCATCTGTGATGGCCCCAATTGCGGTGTGATTGCTTTGTAATTACGTTGTCACAGACAAAGCAAAAGCCCTTGCACCGTAACTGGTGATGCCTGGCAATGATTCCACGCACTTGCTTTGCTCGAAACCACATTGGTTGTTCACAACCACAGCTGGTTAACCCAAGGGTGCAGCCACCAAGCCGAGTCCACAGAGAGGTAAACAGAAGCCCCCCATTACCATCCCGAACCCGTGAACCTCAAGTGCGGTCTTTCTACCTACTAATGACCATCCACGGATATGCCGCTGAAATGAAATAGAATGCAGATAACATGGCGAAGGGAAGCGAATGAGAAATGGAAAATAAAACGAAATCCAAGTAGAAAATTGCCAAGTCTAAAAGCCCCAAAGTGCCCCGCCCGGCACCACATCCTAGCATCTTCTCACGTAAGACATGAAAAGCGTCAGCTCCTCAAGGCACTTGGAGACAAACCCAGCCAAATCCCACTCAATCTGTGGGCTAGTCGCAGTGTTGCTTCCGCAGATCCTTGCTTGGCTGAAATGCATCCTGTGTTGCATGCGAAGACAACACCCTGCAATTGCGAAGCAAGGCACAATTGATCATCCAACACTGCTCTGTGAGACGTTTCCCTGTGCGTCCTCAGGCTAGTGCGTGCGTCCATACACTCACCTGCGGCCTCATGAGCAAATGCCCAAAGTTGTTCGTCTGAGTGCGTCTGTCAATGCTTGCCCTCGCGGTCGAAGGTTGGAAAATAACCATGGCTGCTAGAATAAACTTTTGACCCTCGACGGAGATCAATGATACTGCACCACCATGGAGCAATGGAAAGTCCGCTGTATATGTGCCACGTTGCTAATTCAGCGGCGATGGCGCGCTCCTGCCTCTCTGACAGGAATTTGTAATGTATATTCTTGTGCAGCACATGGATTTGCCAATGTACAGCGAGAGGGCACTGGGTTTCGCCACCCATATCCGTGGCATATTCGATGAATTTCAAAAGTGCCGCGTGGCCCCTGAAGGAACCAGGCAGAAGTGGCCCCGAATCATCGGGGATCACTACTATGGTGTGGTTCAATCGCCAGCGGAAACGTTTGGGGCAGGGCGTTCTGGCGCACTGTTGCGTGTAAAATACAGGTGAGAAAAATTACTGATATGTTCAGTTTTACATGCGTTTGTATTTGTTTGTCAGCAACAGAAGTTCCCAGACCAGAAGTAGCTGGCCAGCTTGTGAAATGATGGATGCCACTGCAAAACATGGGATTCTCCCGTACGCGCAGTGGCATCTTCTGCACCGATGCCAATGCACACAGAAATGTTATAGCAAGCTGGAACACTTACTGGGCTACCGTAGCTAGTTGTGTGCAAATGCTTCCAAAGAGCGGGTGCAAAATCTGTATACGAATGTCTTCAATTGTAAAGGCTACTGATGCAAAATTTGCTGGTTTAAAAGCACATAAACCAGGTGGTTACAGTTGTGGGAATGGAAGACGAGCTGACCGTGAATTTCATCAGGGTCCAGTGCATGGCTTCATCGTAAAACTTGTGTTCGTGTTCGCCAAAGATGCGATTCCGTGAGGATGCATCGTGCTGTCGCTGGAGTCCGGAAGCAGGGGCATCAGACGCAACAAATTCCCGGTTGCCAGGAGGGCGACCATTGGTTTGGAGAGCGAGTGTATCTTTCAAATGGCCGAATCTCTCCATATTTGAGGATCGATCAGGACGCAGCATGGATGGCCATTGCGTCTGACATTCGATATCAAACGATCTACGGTTTGACGATCCTTTCGGAGGCCTATGTGAGAGAGCTTGCGGGGCGACAGTGTGACGGAAGAGCTATGAGATACGGCCTCGAGCAGCGGTCTCAGGCAGCTTCGAGGATGGAATCGGTTTTATTGGTGCGTTTCAGACATTAAGGCTTCATTTCTGGTCGAGTTATGTTTCAAGCGCACGGGCCAACACATACAATCCTTTGCAATAAGACACAGGAACACGTTGAGTGATTCCCCCCGCTCATTTTGTGGGAAAGAGAGCTAAGAGGAGACGCCTGACATTCTTCCCTGACCTGAAATATCGTCGCTTTCCAGAATAGGGATACATGGAAACATCCGTACTTCAGGAACTACTAATATGACATTAGAAATAGGAATGACAGGGCTGCCTTGCTGAAAACGTGCTGGATGTGCATGATGTTTTCACACTGTTTCGGTTGGAAACGGAATTTTGCTTATCTGGAAATTGCGAGAGTTGCTTTTTGAGACAAATGCTGGAATGAGCAGATGTTGTTTTTTGTTGCAGGCGCTGAAGCTGAACCATTGTCTGCGGAGTCTGAACCACCAGTTCAGAATCGTGGCGAGTGCGCACGACCAAGCAGATACCGAAAACATTGTGGATGCAATTGCATGCAAAATTGTATGCTTAATGACGACAGTTCTTTCCCCGCCTCTATATATGAAGACGCAACTCGCCATTCTCTCTGATTTTCAGGTCAGTCAATGTAAATTCACATGACAGAGAGTGAAAAAATGTGCGTCGTATTGTACTCTGGAGGGTGCCAGACGTAGCACATTTTTAACTTGTTAATCCCGTATCCATCCTGAATTCCATCATGAACGCCCAGCGTCTTGCATTCATATGTTTTTATGTATTGGCTCATTGAAACGTTTGCTTCGTTCCTTAAATACACAGGCCCATGCAAGTTTGATGGCCTATGACATCGGAAGATGTTGGAGTAGGCTAGAATGATTTCTGAGAAAGGCAATTTCCGCCTCCGGGGCATTGCATATTTCGCTTAATACGTTGTCTACGCATGAAAAATAGCATGAATACAAGAAAATATTAAAGGTGCAGGGACCACTGAACTTCCCGATACAGTAGCGATGAAAAACTGGCCGTTAAACGTAAATACGGTAAGCTCATCGCAGTATATTTTCAGCATTTTGATCCTTTCATAACTTTCCTCCAAAACTTCCGATGTCATAGGCCGTGAAACTTTTATCTACATTTCAAATTAGGGCTAAATGTTGCTCTGAATGTAATAAAAGGAGCCTCAATGCGCAAACGGGCGTTGGTCATTGATCAAAAAAGCTGTGGTTCTCAAAGGAAGCTTGTTGTTTGTGCTTACGGCACTATTTTTACGTCCGCATCTTTACCTACAAAACGCGTAAATTGATAATTACCATTTTCACGGCCATATTTACGCATTTTCAGGGCTCGTGGACACCCCCAGCATGCATATTATGTCCCAACGTTGAGACATCATTGTTAACAATGATGAGGACTCGGCTTTTCGAGCACCCGCAGCACAGCGTCCTCCTCGCCCTCGGCAAGGGGTAACGTCGTCGAAAAGATTGCCGTTTTCTGCCCACTCCAGCGCGTCTGGATGCC